CCTTGGAGTCTTTCCTTGGCTGCTCACAATTCATAATAATGCTGCATACTACCTAATTAAGAGAAAAGAAACATTTGTCTTTCTGATGAGTAAACAGCTTGAGGAAGTTGTTCTGGGGATAAATGAAGCTTATGGGGAGTGTTCAGTGAGCTGTGTGCTCCCCTTTCACAAGTCGTGAATTTATTTGTATGCATCAGGCATTTCCCACTGCATAGTTCAGGCCCTTCATGCCCTTAAATTTAATTCAGGTGAGTAGGAATCCTTGCTAGAGACTAATGAAAATGGTTAGACGTAAGAAAAGACTTCTTAGTGTTGAAAACCAAGATGATTAATATTACTATACTCAAAGAACTGTAAACAAAAAGTTTATGTGGCAGTTAAATCTGTAAAAGATTGTTCAGATGTCAGTGGGCGTTTGTTTCCAATTCCACTAATTGTTTGAATTATACTCTTCCTTATCTTTGTTAGATAAAGTTACCAAGGGAAATTGTGGCACCTTGTTAGAAGTCCTAGAAACCACACATTATCAACTGTGCAAAATAGATTTACTTTGTTTTATGTAACAAAATAAGGTTTGACTTTTGACCATACTTAGATCATTTCTACCTGATTTAAGATTCTGATTTTCAGATCAGAGCCTATTTTTTCTCCTTGTCCAATGAATTTAAGAGCATTTCTACTAGAATTTAGTGTATTAAACTGATGGACTTCCTTATTGATTTTTTTTTTTTTTTAAAGGGGTAAGGTTCACTATTTGCCCAGACTGGCCTTAACCTCCTGGGCTCAGGTGACCCTCTTGCCGCTGCTTCCTGAGTAGGTGAGCTGGGCCTATAGCCATACACAACTATACCCAGCTGATTTTTGTTTCTTACTTAATAAGATCTAATAAAATATTTTTCTAAAAAATTTAGTATAATACAATTCAATACAATATTCAAGGCTCTTTAAGAAGAGCAAACTATGAGCACAATCACTGACCCCCTACCCTTTTTTTAGTTGTCAATGAACCTTTATTTTATTTTATTTATATGCATTGCTGAGATTTGAACCCACACATGTACCTCACACATTGTACCTCACACATGCTAGGCAGGTACTCTATCACTGCACTACAATCCCAGCCCCATGATCACTGACCTTAATGGAGCTTATTTTGAAATTAGAAACAGATTGATAAAATATTATAGATGGCTTGTATTTCAGACTTTGGTTTTATTCTATATGGTATGAAGCAGAAGGCATTTGAAATTTATCTACCCCCATTTTATAAACAGGGCATTGACGTGAATAGAACTTTCTAGTGTTTTTGGTAGTGGGGCCATTGTATGAGGCCAATAACACAATTCAGCAAACTCAGGTGAATTATAAAAAGGTCTATTTTGGTTCACATTCTGGAGATCCAAGGTTGAGGATCCATACCTGGTGATGGCCTTCTTGCTGCAGAGTCCCAAGATGCTGCAGGACCTTATCTAATTGTAATCACCTCCTAGAGGCCCTACCTCCAGACACCATAGTTGAGTTCATTTTCTACCCAATTAACGCCTCACAGTTGGGACTAGATATCAATACATGAACCCTTGGCAGACACACTCAAACCATATCTAAACTTTATCAGCCACCATTCTGGAAATGTAAAGATAGAGGAAAGGAAGAGGAATTTGTAAAGTTTGAAGTTAGAGAAGGTCTTTAGAAAACTCTCACGATGCCAGGTGTGGTGGTGCATGCCTGCACTCCCAGCTACTTAGAAGGCTGAGTCAGGAGGATCACAAGTTCCGAGCCAGGCTGTGCAACCTAATGTAGACCCTGTCTCAAAATAAAAAATAAAAAGGGCTAGGGCTATAGGCCAGTGTTAGAGTGCCCCTGTGTTCAATCCTAAGTTCAGGGGAAAAAATAGGAAGAAGAAAAAGAAAACTCTGATGGTAAGCAAGTAGGTAATAGGAAAAACCAGGGTAGGACTAGAAAAGAGGAATGGAAGGCTAAACAAAATTTACTACTTTTGCTAGATATGAGACCCAAGAAAGAGTTAGAGCTATATAGGATTTCTGTGCTCCATGGTCTGAAAATAAGGGTCACAGAACAAAAATAGTCCTAGAAAAATAGATAATTCTGAGAAGTTAGTCTTTAACATGAGATGATAGGATCTCAGTAGTAGACTACTGGAGCAAAAGAGGTTGAAAAGTTTGGTTATGGCATTGTCTTTGATGTGATTATTTTCTTTTTTTGAAGGGGGGATACCAAGAATTGAACTCAGGGGCACTTAACYACTGAGCCACACGCCTAGCACTTTTTTTGTGTTTTATTTAGAGACAGGGTCTCACTGAGTTGCTTATTGCCTCACCATTGCTGAGGCTGGCTTTGAACTCAACATCCTCCTGCCTCAGTATCCCTAGCTACTGGGATTACAATTATTTTCTTCCTACATTGTTTGTTACCTTTTTGTTACCCCAGACTGTGAATATTTAAAATGTTTCTGTTTGGTACATTTAGAGCAAATGCCTATAGGCTTTAGTGTTTCTATTTTAAGACTTTTTCATGTGAGGTGATAGGGAGGTTAGTTGAGCTGTAGTTGTTTCTGGTGTGTGTGTGTGGTGGGGGGGTCATATGTGTGCACTTGCCCTTCTGGTTCATAAATCTAAGATAAATTATAAAATCTAAGATGAATTATGATGTTTTACTTTTCCTCTTATCAGGACTCCAGATTTTAATTTATTTCATCATTTTAGTATGGAATTTTAGTTGCTTTGTCTCACCAATGAACTCTTTCAGACTTGACTCTTATTTTAAAATTAGCTCACACAGAGACTTCTAAAGCAGGCAGGAATCTTCAAAGGCCTTTGAGATCATCTAGGACAGCTCCCATATTTCTCAGAATTGTAATCTGATGTTGAGGTAATAATAGTCAACATTTATTGAGCTATTATCTCATGAAATCATTATAACAGTCTATAATGTATGTGAAATGGCTTTCTTGCAGTCACGTAGAAAATGGTAGCCATAGCTGACTTTTTAGGACTTGTTTTCCTTAAAAATATATTCACAATTTAAATAATTTAATTCTTTGCAGTAGAGAAAGGTAGTCTTTTGTATCAAATAAAATATTTTGAATATTTAAAATAATAAAATACTAATTATAACACTCCACTTATTATTTAATATAGTAAAATCATATAGTCATCTAGTAAAATTCATATATTTTGTGAAGGTCTGTAATGTGCAGAAGAAACACAGTCCTGGTACTTGTCTCCATGGGTCTAGCAATCAGTACTATTTTCTTGATTTTTACATCTAAATGCTTGTTCTTATGTACTTGGATTGCTCTGCCTTAATGATGATGATGATCTGTTTATTTATGGTACTAGGGCAGGTTGAACCCAGGGATGTTTTATCACTGAGCTACATCCTTAGCACTTTTTATTTTTTATTTTGAGACAGAGTCTAAGTTACCAAGGGTCTTGCTGAGTTGCTTAGGCTGGTCTTAAACTTGCAGTGCTCCTGCCTCAGCCTTTGGAATTGCTGGGATTACAGGTATGCTCCAATGCACCCAGCTTGATCATTATTTTTAAGAGAAGAATTAGACAGCTAATGTTAGCAAAACCTACCCGAGCATTATGTGTGTCTTATTTATTGCTTTGCCTCCAGATAATGAAATTATTAAATTAATTTTCAGCACCTAGTTCTTGTTCAGTGAACTGAGGGTTGATTTGTTTTGTGTTGTTTTTATTAGAAAGTAATTTTACTATTTTAATTAGAAAATAATTTTGCTGGGGCTGGGGCTAGGGCTGGGGCTAGGGCTGGGGTTGTGGCTGAGTGGTAGAGTGCTTGCCTAGCACTGGGTTCAATCCTCAGCACCACGTAAGAATAAATAAAACAAAGGTATTGTGTTCATCTACAACTAAAAAAAAAATTTAAAGAATTTTGCTGTGTTTCTTAAAATTATTAGAGGTTCTTTTTAGAACTTATACACACACATATAATATATCATAAATGTTAACTCCTTTAATCATTTTTAAGTGTACAGTTTAGTTGCGTTAATTGAATTTATCATAGTGTTGTGCAATCATCACCATTATTTATTTCTAGAACACTTTCATCATCCCAAACAGAAACTTTAGTTTCAAGTACTAGAGGAATACTGGTTACTTCCTTTCCTGGGCCTCATCTCACCTATCTTCTAGATTCAGTGTAATCTGTTTATACTTATTGAATACAGAGTTTGTCATTTGAATTAGAATAGTTTCTTTTGATCTGTATTTTTTCATATTTCTAGGTATCTATGAAAACCACATAATTTTCCCTTTTATTTATACTTGCTGATTTGGAGCAATGAAATATATACACATGAAGTTTGAAAGGAGCTCAAGCTAAATGATATAAATACATAGAAAAAAGATGGGGGATTTAGAACTGTGAAACACAAAGAAGTCTGAAAGTCTCAGATATGAGTTTCCTCCCACTTCTGCTGAATGCCTGGAGCAGGAAGCACACCCAGTATAAAAGATATTTGGGCCTGTGATCTAAAAGAATTCAGTCCCCAAACACTGGATATGAACTGGACTCAACAGGAAGGACTGTTCAATAGATCCTCCCTCTGGGTTACTCTCTGTGCTCAAACAAAAATACTCTTTAGAGTTTTTAAAAATTAGTTCTAAAAGAGTATAAAAAGTCCATTCAGATTACATACTTTTTCTTCTGCTAAAATGTGAAGTTTCCTTGACTACTTCTCTTCCTCATTCATATTACTATTACTGTTGCATGATAAAGAAATAGAGAAATTATCAGGAACCTTTCTCAGAAAATTATTTCACTTTTTTATAGAGTAAGAATTTAAGAAATATGTAAAAATCATTGGGCTTTTACCTGATAAGCAATATAATTTTTTTGTGTTATTTTAAAAGTATATTAACATATGTTTGATATAAGAAAAATATAATTTTTAATCTGCCTTTACTGTTCTTTGTTTTTTAAAGATTGATGCTCCTAATGAAATCTGTTTATTACAGCTAAAAGATGGCGGCAAGGCCTTCCAGGCCAATGTAAGAATAGGCGATGTGGTCCTCAGCATTGATGGAATAAGCACCCAAGGAATGACTCATCTCGAGGCCCAGAACAAGATTAAGGGTTGTACCGGCTCTTTGAATATGACTCTGCAAAGGTAAATTGTTTTAAGTTTGGCTCTGAGAGAGAAAATGATACTCAAGAATTTGCGTGTTACTCTCTCTCTCTCTCTCTCTCTGAATGTGTGTGTATGTATGATTCATGCTAACTAAAAAGCAGTTTCTATTATCATTGTTTCAGGTAGATAAATAAAAAATGTAGTAACTATTCAGTTGGATAATTGAGCAGTATGAGAATTGCTGAAAGCTCTGGATTATTTCTCCACACAAAGACATGTATTTGCATATTCATAAAAATTGTGTGTACAGTTTATAGTTTCAGAGAATTCAAGTATTCCTGAAATTTCTTATGAGGGCTAAGAATTCTTAATGTAGGGGAAAAAATTCTTTACCTTAATATTCTGAACAGTATATTAGATGGTATTCCTATTTAATTTAAAATATTTTAAAATTTAAAAATTTTTTAGTTGTCAGTGGACTTTTATTTTATTTTATTTATTTATATGTGGTGCTGAGAATGGAACTCAGTGCCTTGCACATGCTAGGCAGGCGCTCTACCACTGAGCCACCACCCTAGCCCCTTATGGGGTATTCTCTTACAGTGCATTTTCCCATGTTTTTCTTCCTGAATACATTTTTTTTTGTACTAAGAATTGAGCCCAGAGATGCTGTATCACTGAGATACATCCCACCCCTTTCAATTTTTTTTATTTTTTGAAATTTAATTTAATTTTTACCCACATTTTTTATTGGTGCCTTATAATTATACATGCTGATATCAGGGCATTGCTACATTTTTGTACACATACAAAATACACAATATAATTTGGCCAATATCACTCCCCAGCACTTTTCCCCTGCTTTTGATTTTTTATTTTGAGATAGGTCTCACTAAGTTCCTGAGGGCCTTGATAAGTTGCTGAGTGTGACCTCAAACTTGTGATCCTCCTGCCTCAGCCTTCTGAGTTGCTGGGATTTCAGGTGTGTAACACCTTATCTGGCCACAAATAATTTTTATACACTTGTTTGAAGGCTGGATTTTWAAAAATTACTATTTTTTACATTATTTTGAACTCACTTTTAAAATAGTCATCTTTATATTAGGTATTAGAACATCCCAACATTAGGCCTGCATTGAAATCACCTGTAGTGTATGTTAAAAATACTGATTCCTATGTTGAATCAGAATTTCTGAAGGTAAGCACCAAGAATTACATTTACATTCCACTTGATGCTAATGAATTATAAAGTTAGAATTATTGAAGTATCTTGGGCTTCGTTTAAAGGAAGCAAGTAAGGGAATGGAGGGAGAGAGGGTGATTGAGTGATAGCTCAGAACCTTAGGTGTATAAGAAAGGAAGCTTGGTCATAGTTAGGGAGGGTTTTAAACAAGTCTTGTGTTTGATGATAACGGAAAGTGCACTGTATTCTGTCAAAATTGGAAAACACCGTCAAGACCCTCCCCAAACATCTCACAGTCTTCCATAAATTATCATGTTTATTGTGAACCTTTAAAAGGATGATGTTTTCCCATTGTCTTTGGTTATGGAATCTTTTTTTCTTGGAGCCTCTTGTGGGACTGGGAGTTTTGTGGAATGCACTTTGGAAATGCTTCTCAGTTCTTTGCCACTGCTATCCCGGGTGTCCTAGGATTACTATATAAAGGATTTAAATGGAGTAAAATATATTTGCTTGTCTGGATGAGTACTAAGTTAGTTGAATAAATTTTTTTTTTTTACATTTTGATTTTGACTTAGATCTACTTCAATGTATTATGACTTTCTAACTAGTTCTCTCTTTGGGGTCCTTTTTTTGTGTGTGTGTTTGTTTTTATGGAAGAAATTCCTTCCAGTAGGATTGCTGAATTGATGTTTATATGTATTTTACATTTTGATGAATATCAGCTATGCATTTTAATAGTAAAAAATAAGTCAATGAGAAAAGTACTCTATTGCAAAAACAATTGTTTCAATATTATCCTTCTGTTCTGTATATTGAGACATGTAATATAAAAGTTGTTACTAATTAAAAGAGGTGTTCATTTTTTATTTATAGGCATTTGTACCATGTATGAATCTTGAAAGGGAACCAAGAATGTAAGAAGCTTAACTTATCTGAGATATCTCAAAAATAAAACAAATACAAATGATTATGGTCTGTTTCTCACATTCTAAAATCGCCTGTGTATATAATTGTATAAGCTCTTTTTTTCTGGGCTATGTRTCATTTTTTTCATACTAGCCTGCTTGTTTTCACATTGTGCTTCTTATTTTATAACCAGGACCTAGTATCTTATTTTCTATTGAAAACACTCTGGGCCTCATAAGAATAGATGAAAACCAGATGTTACTCTGTTTTTATGCATTTCCAACTTAAGCAGTCTGCTACTGACTCTAATAAAGATTCTTTTAAGCTGCTCAAGTATAAAATCTAACAAATCAACTTACAAAACCAACTTGTTACCAACATTTGGTAATTCTACATAATCTTATCTTCATTTTTCTAAATATAGATAGTCAGAGACCCCAAATAGGGAGAATTTTAGAGTCCTCTTCTCATTGTAATTCTCTTCATGTTTTTGAACATTTCATGTAAAATAATATCAGCCTTTTTCAATGTTGTCTATATTTAGCGAAATTCATGGTATATCACTGACAATGTTAACTGAAGAAAGTTTTGCTTTGTAGGGAAGAAATACAACTTTAAAGAGTTATATTTGATTCTTTTCTATACCAAGGCCATATTTTTCTTAAGTTCTTTCTGTTTGTTATAGCCAATATTTCTGAATTTGAGCAGCATCTTATCTGGCCTCCAGTTACTCTTTTATCCCACCTCTCGTCAATCAGACTGCTCCGAATTCCCCTACAACAGTACTTTCTCTGTGCAGCTCTTTTCTTTATAAATATAGTTTTCCTCATGAATATGTAGTATCTCCATGACAGACTTGTCTGACTTTGGTTTCTCTAGAGGCAGAACCTGAGATGGGGGTTGCTCTGCAAGTGATACATGAAGCATCTTCTTTCAGATGTCGCTTGTTGTTCATAGTGAGCGAGTGAAGAAGGATTGAGGAGCAGGAGAAACTGAGATGAACAAAGATGTGATTTCTCATTTGAGAAATCAAATTTCCTCATTTTGTCCATCAGGAAACTTGGGAACAAAACTGTACCAAAGAGTTTTTCTTGCCTTGAAGCAAAGGAACTGGGTTATTTACCCCTCCCTTGCATTTGTTAGTTCTTGGCTACCAGCTGTCCTGCAACAGCGAGAGCAAGAGAGAGCAAGTACCTGCAAGCCAGCCTACACTGCAGTAGGAGGGGGTTTCTTTTGCTTCTACAAAAAGTTTCTGGTGTGGACCTTTAGCAACAAAGCAAGGATCACTGGGGGCATGAGTATACCACATCCACAGAAACGTTCCTGAGGATCCAGGCTGGGTGCAAGAGTGTACACTATGAGCTCTATCCAGACCTAAATGCTGTGCTTAGAAGATGATGGTCTCTGCCTGGATACTGAGTGCTTGTCTATTTTTTTTCCAGAAATGTAGGAGGCTGAGGCAGGAGAATTGCAAGTTCAAGGCCAACCTTGGCAACTTAATGACACCCTGTCTCATGGTTTAAAAAATGAAAGGGGCTGGGGATGTAGGTCAGTGATAAGGTACCCATGCCACCGGGTTCAATCCTAGTACAATACAGAAAAAAATTGTGTTCTCTGTAACCTAATCCCACTCAAGTTGCTCTCTCCATGTCACCACTAATCCTTGTCAAATATCCTCCATTCCATTTAGAATAAGTTTCTCAGCATCTCTCACATGCTCCTATGGCCCTTTGTGAAATTTGCTTCATCTGCAATGCCTACCACCTGTTCGCTGCCCTTGTGTGCCTTTATATCCACAAAACCTATATTAACCCTTGTCTTCTGCCTATCGTCTTTCCTACTGCTGCAACTCATTCATGTTTTACCTCTCAGAACTTACATGAAAGAGTTTATGCCATTCATTTCAACATTTAATTATACAATAAGTATAATCAGAAATAACAAGATCCATTCTTTGAGTCATGTACAAATAAACATAATTGGTTAATAGTTATATCCAGTGCTATCTATATTATTAAGTAATTAACTTAATTAATCTTATTTCTCCAAATAGTCTCCTTAAAAGCAAAGACCATGTTTTTTGCTCATTTTTATTTAGCAACATCTTGGATAGTTTTGTGCTTTTGATATCTAATGAATAATTATTTGATATATAACCAGCATTGTTTGCCAAACATGGAATTGTTTATTTCACAAATATTTAGTGAACTTTCAGTATGTTCCAGGTATTATTATAGATGCTGGGAACATAAGACTGAACAAAACAGAAAAAAATCCCTGCCCTCATAATACTGACATTTTAGTGAGCAGACAGGCAATAAACAGCAAAGGACAATGTGTTGTATATAATGTAGTGTGCATTACTGGAAACATAAAGCACATAAGGGAAACAGGGAGTGCAGAGGTAGAGAATTGCAATTTGAAATGGAGTGGTGAAGAAAGCCCCAGTGAGGTTGTTGGCTGTCTGGGGCCTGACAGTGCCAAACAGAGAGATAAGCCAGTGCAGTGCCCTGTTGGTGCAGAGTGAGTGGATACAGACTAGTAAGAGGTGAGGTCAGAGGGGTAGTATGAAAGGGGCAGAAGTGGAATAGAATTTGTCAGTCACTGCAAGGTTCCAATGTAAGTTTTCTTGGGCCTATGAAAAAATTGTCAGAAGGCTTTGGAAGGTTACAACTGCTTGGCCAGAGCTAGAGCAAGATTTGGGAGAAAATTGACTTCATTATTAGAAATGGAAGCTAGAGGAAGGAGCTGACCAACCCCCCATCCCTAGTTTATTAGTGAATGCACTGCTGAGGCAGGAGAATTGCAAGTTCAAAGCCAACCCTCGAAAACTAATGAGACTCTGTCTCATGATATAAAAAAATGAAAGGGGCTAGGAATATAATTCAGTGATAAAGTACCAGTGCCACTGGGTTCAATCCTAGTACCACAAAAAACCTAACACTGTAGA